AGGTCCAGATGTAGGTGCAGGTCCAGGTATAGGTCCAGGTCCAGATGTAGGTGCAGGTCCAGTTATAGGTGCAGGTCCAGATATAGGTGCAGGTCCAGGTGTACCTGAAAGACAAAAACACACATGAAGGATAGAAAAAATAATTACAAATGTTGATCAGAGTAAGTAAAGACAGCAGCAGAGTGAAAAGTGTGGTCAGTTTGTCCTCCAGCAGTCTAAGCCTATAGCAGCAGAACTAAGGGACAGCTCAGGAAACCCAAGCCGACCCTAACCATAGGATTTATCAAAAAGGAAAGTCTTAAAACTGGATAATGTGTCAGCCTCATGGACAGAAACTGGAAGTTGGTTCCACAAGAGAGGAGCCTGAGAACTGAAAGATCTGCCTCTCATTCTGCTGCTGGAAATTCTAGGAACCACAAGTAAACCTGCAGTCTGAGAGTGAAGTGCTCTGTTGGGAAAATATGGAACAATAAGATCTGTAATATAAGATGGAGCTAGGTTGTTGAGAGCTTTGTAGGTTAGAAGTAAGATTTTGAATTCTATTCTGGATTTGACAGGGAGCCAATGGAGAGAAGCTAAAACTGGAGAGAGATGATCTCTCCCAGTAACTCCAGTTAAGACTCTGGCAGCAGCATTTTGGATCAACTGAAGACGTTTTAAAGAAGTATTTGGACACCCAGATAATAAACCATTGCAATAGTCCAGTCTAGACGTGACATGGACCAGTTCTTCTGCATCATCTTTAGATCAGATGTTTCGACAGGAACAGAGGGTTTCAGTTGTCCGTCACAGAAACGCCTCCAGACCGCTCCACAGCGTGCACACCTCCAGCAGGTGTCTGAACTCCTGCTGCATTTCAGACATGATGAATAAAAAAAGCTTACTGTAAAAAATACAACGAGAGAAATGTTTGATGTGTTCTTCACATTATACGTCACGTTTCAAAACAACGGCGCTAATTTGTCAAAATATCCACAACGATCAAAATGTCAGGACAGTCCAGATGGATGGATGTCCTTAGTTGGACAACGGAGAACTGAATCCTTCAGGTGCTTCAGACCGTGCCACGAGACGGAGCAGGAGCGGAGGAGAGTTCAGCTCAGAACCGTGAGGTGGGGGGGTTAGGACACCTGACGGAGTCGCAGCTGCTCACACAACCTGCTGTTCTTATTGAGTTTACACATGTAGCTAAATGTTGATGTAGAACAACGTGCTAAAATACAGGAAGTGACATCACTGTTGTTCAAGATTTTCTGTGAGAGGACCCACGGACCGCCCGCTGTTCCGGCATCAACCAGTTTACAAATTAAGCCCTGGTTAAATCCTCGTGCTCATCAGTTGGGTTCGGCTATAATTCACACGCGGAGTCGATGTCAAAACTCCCGACGGCTGGGATCCCACCAGGAGCCAGTGAAGCTGCTGCTTCCCTGAGCGTCTTGACAAAAACTTGTGCTGGAAGAAGACGTCCTCCATGTTTTTGTCCACGCGGCTCCTGGTGGGTCTCGGTCTGAACGACTGACAGAGTACAGGATGTGAGGAACCCCTTAAAGCTTGTGAGGTTCTTCAGAACCCCTGGATGTTTGGACCGTCTCTGAGCTGAAGGTGTTTCCTCTTCTCAGCGGTCAGCCAATCAGCACCGACCTCCGGCTGGAAGACGGACGGATCGGCGAACGCCCGGCGGTCGTTTACCACGTTTTCCACATGTTGCTCTTCGGTTTCCTGACCCTGCTGTTTGACGGGTAGGTTCTGCAGAATGGGGCTCGGTTCTGACGTTGGTGACCGTCTTAACGAGGCTCTGTCCCGCAGGGTGAAGTACGTGTGGACGCCGTACGTCTGCATGTTCACGGCGTTCGGGGTGTGTTCTCCTGATCTGTGGATGACCGTGTTCAGATGGCTCAGGCTCAAGTCGGTCCATCCGGTGGTTCTGGTCCGTTTGGTCTCGCTCAGAGCTCTGTTTGTGGATCGATGGTTCGCTGATGATGTTCGTGTTTTGTTTTCAGTCTCTGATTCTGAGCACGGCGGTCCCGACCATCATCGGCTTCAGCTTGTGGAGAGAGGTGAGGCGTTTATAAAAGCTCGGGTCGGATCAGAACCTCAAACCCAGTCACGGTCCATGTCTTTCCTGTGCTGCAGTACTACCCTCGAGTCTTGGCGGAGTTGGCGGACCTGCAGGAGTTTGACGAGCCGGACACGGTGGAGCTGATCAGCTGGATCAGGTGACCCGTCGGCTCCGTCCGGGCTTCATGGCGGTCCGGTTCCTGTGGCGTTCTGAACTCTGTTTTTCCTGCAGGTCTCAGGTTCCGGCCGCGGCCGTGCTCGCCGCCAGCCCGCAGCTGCTGGGGACGTTAAAACTGTGTTCTGGTTCGGTCGTGACCAGCTTACCGGTTTACACGGACCTGGACCTGCTGAGGAGAACCGAAGACGTGAGAAAAAACCAAGATCTTAAAAAAACAAGTTTTATTTATCTGCAAAAAGTTTTCATCCTAAAACTCAGGATCAGAGTTCTGACGTTCTGCGTTAAACCGGTCCTGGTTGGACCTCCAGCGCAGGCGTCGCAGCAGAACCGTCCTTCAGAGCCTAAACGGTCACAGGAAGTTGGACCGAACTGAACAGGAAGCAGTTTACTGTATGATGCATTCACTGACCATCTGACGTCAGAACTACTTTTGTGTTTTCACCAATGACCCGGGTCACCTTCACTCAGGTGTTCTGGAGCTCAGAGGTGCCCGAGGGATCACGGCGTGGTTTTAACTCCTCGGGCATTTGTTGTTTGTGTTCCCCGTGTCCTCGCAGACCTACCAGGTGTACGCCATGAGGTCTGCGGAGGACGTCTACAAGCGCCTGACGGCTCACAAGACGAACTACGTGATCGTGGAGGAGTCGATCTGCAACGAGCTGACCGTCAGAAAGAACTGCCGGGTCAAAGATCTGCTGGACGTGTCCAACCATCACGTCTGTCGAGCTTTGTTTCATTAAAGGGGCATTCCGCACATTCAGCATCAGGTTTGCATCTAATCCAGAGTCTCTAATCTGTAATCTCGTCCAGGTGGTCTACGACCGAGGAGGGACGCACTCGTCCTCCAAACACGGGCGCTTCTGTCAGGAGGTGAAGATGAACTACTCCCCGTACACCAACTACTTCACCCGGGTCTTCTGGAACCGCTCGTATCACGTCTACAGAGTGAACGCCGTCGTGTCCTTTCAGTTCTGATGGACGCGTCGCGCACGGCTTCGGGACGCGGCGATGAAATCTGACGACGAGCTGAAGGGTCAGGCGTCGGAGCCACCAGCTGAGCTTTCGCCACAGACGTTTGGTTCAGCTCGGCTCATGGAAGATTCTGGTTCTGACCCAAACCGGCTGGTACCGAGCAGATTAAGAAACAAATGAATTCTACAGTCAGGCAAAGTTTAAAAGCAACATCTTAAATAGTTTATTCCTTTTATTCACACACACAAAAGAATCATAATCTGCAGGATAACTGCGCGAGTCACGTGTCCAAAAGATATCTAAAGCTCGTCGGCGCAGCCTGGGTGCACGTCGCATACAATTTATAACAAGATTAGTTTTATTTTTCTGTCTCTTCGTTTGTTTCCAAACGTTACTGAACCTGCTAACCGGGTCAGAACGGTGGCGCAGAGGACGTGAAGCTTGTGGTAAAATAAAACCTTTTCTCATGGATTCTGTGCGTTTGTGCCTCGTTTAGTTTTTATAGTTTCCTGCAGAAACGTCGTCATCACATTATTTTTATTTCACTTCAACCACGGTGGAAGATTTTTAACATGAAAGTGTTTGTTGTTGTTTTGATATTTTCATGATTGTGAAGATTAAAATGTCAAAAAGAAGAACGATTGTAAAGAATCAAACTATTAAAGATTCTGTAAAGACGTAACGGTTTCTGCTTTTCATAATGTTTGTGTCGTGTTTTTATTGTTTCTTTATGGTTTGAAAGGTTTGTAGGTTTTAATATTTGCTGTTTTCCCTCAGAGCTGCAGTTCATTTACACAGACGAGTTTTCAGGGTTTAAATGTCCAAACAACTTTATTCAGAACCAGCCTCGTTCGTTTTTCTGAATTAATGCAAATTAAAGACATGAGTTCATCCCAGGACCACTTTAATTGTTTTAAAACATTTCCTCTATTCTCCAAACTGACTAAACTGCTGAGCTCGTACTTTTTAAATGTTGAGTTATGTTGCATCTAATTAAATATGGTGGTAAATGTTTTTCTTTGTTAATTTGCTATACAAGTTTTTTTGTTCTAAAACACCTAACGTTTATTTTTCAGACCAAGTAGTTATTTGTGATCGTTTTGTTTTTGATCATTTCATATTGTTCAGCTAAAGTTTAAAATCATTTTCATCTTTGTTTCAAAACAGGAATACTAGTTAATACTAATTTACTTACTTTAAAGCTGGATTTGCATTTAAGATTATTTTTGTATGTATCGTAGTTTTTACTCGTTTCATTATTACTCGTTTCCTCGTAAATACGAACTTTTACCTAAAAAGTTATAAACAAACATTTAAACATGTCGCGTTCGTTTCTTCAAGAATTCCAGTTGCCGTTCTCCGTGCTCGGACCTTGAACGCAGCATAAGCAAGGCGCTAACAGTCTCCATGGCAACGAACCGGAAGCGGAAGCAGTGATGCCGTAGACGCGCAGCAGAAAAATTATGTGAGAATTACCGGCTGCCGCGGCACGATTTTATAAATAATTTTTATTTATCCTCTGGTTATTTATTCGGCTGTGTGGAGGTAAGAAGGACCGTAGTTTGAGCGGAACAGGCGGGCAAAGTGCGCTCACTCTGCGGCTTCAGTTAGCCTGAACACCGCTGCTATTAGCACCGCTAGCTTAGCACGAGTGCTGCTGCTGTTAGCACAGCTA